GAGACTGATCGGATAAACAACATGGCCGACAGGCAGCCATCTTGGATTTTGATAGTGAAAGTTTGTTATCGCTATTTCTCGGGAAGTACGGGAGGGATCTTTCTCAAATTTTAAATGTAGGTTCCCCTTGATCCCTCGTTGTGTATGTTATATTTTGAGACTGATCATAAAAACAAAATGGATTAAAAGAAGAACTTAACAGATCTTTCTCATATTGCAATGATCGATTCTATTTCTTTCACATTAAGTACTGTACTAGTAAATATGTGAAATGACAAACTAACTTTGAATGTTGGCTTTCATACACATCAGTATTAAGTTCAGATCAAAAGTTACCTCAAGGTGCATTTACTGTTAACATGACTCGATCAAACAGATTAGAGGAAAGAAGGAAAAAGATCGAACTGAAAAAGAACTAATGAAGATGGTACAAAGGTGGGCGCCAAGATCCCTCTGGGAACTCTTGTTTTTCTTGTTTTTGGTAGGATGCTATTCCTAGTTTTGAGATTGGCAATTAACACCACTCAATCACTCGTAAGAAATATATAACAACAGTTAAATATCCTTCATTTTGAATGGTAATTTAGGGGTGCCTGAAAACAGTTTGCTAGTTTTTTTCCCACACCTATAGTAGTAATGTAAGGTAATTATAACGGGTTGTTTCGCCCCAAATACCGTTCGCCCTAAGGGTTGTTTCGCCCCAAATCCGTTCGCCCTAGGTTGTTTCGCCTTAAACAAATATTTTCTCTTTAAGTCTTAACAAACTTATCTTTCTCTTGAATCAAGATATAATTACGTGCCGGAAGATGAAGAACGAACCTGTATATACTAATATCCGGAATATACTGCATATTATCATTTTCATTTCATTACCTTAATTAAGTAATGTTGTTCTTTATAAAATGCACCTGTACATGTTTTAACATTTAAAGTGTAAAATAGTAATACTTTAACTTATACAACTTCTAACATGATATAAACAATTAAAAAGCACCCTGTACTATACCATGCTGTCTGCGTCTAACCCACGGAGTCGCACAAAATGCACAAATCATCCATAATGTAATGTTGAATTATAACAGTATTGAGAAATGCCCTATTTATGACAAGTTACCTACTCAAAATTATCTACTCAAATATGCATATTAATTTTTATTGGTCGGTACTATCAAAACTTCTCAAAATGATCTCATCCAATTAGCAAAAAACAACACGGATGGGAACAGAAATCAAGTAAAGAAAACATTGTCACATGGTGACGATTATGTGTAAGTTACACTAGACTAAATGTGTTAACACCATTAAAGACCTGTTAAAAGATTAATACACAAGTATGGTTTTAGTCTATGACCTGTATCACGACCTACCCATGCTTGGGATAAAAGAAAATTAACTTGCTTTATCTTTTATGTTACAACAGCTAAAATATATAAGACCTTATAATAATAGTTTAAAAAAAAAGTAAGTCTCAGAGAACACTAAATCAAGAGTGTGAAAATATATGGCTGAATTGCTGTCCGATGACCAATAGTTATTGCATAATTTGTTCTTCATGTATGTTATATTCGGCTGGTGATTTCATTAGTAATGAATGGTATATACAGAATATATACGTCTCGTAACAGAAACGACTTGTTACTGAAACAACCTGACACCGTGAGCGGGTCACCTGTTAAACCGCATCGCTGGAAAAGCTTGCTTGCTAGTAAGGCAGTATTTTACCCTCATATTAATAGATCAAAATATAATGAGCAATTTTTCTGGTGCGCCCTTCTGTCTGTTAGGAATGTAACACAAATAAATAATCTTGGTACATTTTTGTGTATTAATTTAATTGCCACTGCCAGGCGTGACATGTACAGCTGATAGTAATATTATTGTGTTATCTTGTATAGTACATTTATTAATTGCACAGTTTATGACAAGGAGTAAAGTACATGTTCTAATTCATATCGGCTACAACCACTGAACCACTGAAAGAAAAGATGGTTTTAGGTTATTTTTATCCCCCACTTTCACCGAAACGGGGGATATTAATTTGGATTTGTCCGTCTGTCTGTCACGCTTCATTTCCATGCAATAACTGCAACAAATGTTAAATGATTTTCTTCAAACTTAGTAACAGGGTTAAATGCCTTAAGGGCTCGGCCAAGTTTGACGACCACTTTCAGCAGACTTATTTGGCGGAGTTATGACCCCTTGACCAATGAAAAACGTCATTATCTGCCGTTTCCGTGCAATAACCGCAACAAATGTTAAATGATTTTCTTCAAACTTGGTAACAGGGTTAAATGCCTTAAGGGCTCGGCCAAGTTTGACGACCACTTTCAGCAGACTTATTTGGCGGAGTTATGACCCCTTGAGTAACAAAAAACATCATTATCTGCAGTTTCCGCTTAATAACTCTAGCAAATATTACCCAAATTCCTTCGAACTTGATAACAATGTTTGTGTTCCTCTGTCTTTCCACCCATATCGGGCACTCTTTGGTTTTCGTGTGATAATTGCTGTAGATATTGTGCAGATATTTCAACCACATCCAACTCATGCTAAATATTTACAGTTAATTAATGAGGTATAAGGGTTTTTTCTTCTTCCAGTTTCAAGCTATACATTTTGTCTCGATGACCACTTTCTAATCTTTTTAGAGCTTGATTTGATATCTTTTCGTTGTTTGGGGTTGTACAGCATATTTATAGCAGCTAATCATGATTTTATTGCAACTGATTTTTATTGAAATTAAAGGTATAAAGCTTTTTTTTCTTCCAGTTTCAAGCTATACATTATGTCTCAACAGCACGATACTCACATGTGTAAACCTAACCTCAATAATGTTTACTTACAATATGTCCTTGCAAGCGGGGGATATAAATATAATTTTTTGTTTTGTGATCCTTTATTTTAAAAGTCTAGGTCATTCGATGATCTGCCATGAATTGCTATGGTTAGTAACACACTTGAAAGGTACACAGTTTTTGGAAACTGCCATATACTTCCAGTGCTATTATGCCCGAAGTGTGCTCATATTTCCAGCATTTCTGTGTTATTTCCTAAAATGTTATGATTAAATTACCAGTGATTTTTTTTTGCTCAGTTTTACTGCCGAATACAGGCTGTTTTCCCTAGCTAAAAATGTCTTATTGCCCCAAAATGACCAAAAACTGAGGAACATATTCCTAATTTCAATACAACTAATGCTATATTTCCCCAATTCATAAAAAAACTAGCTTTTGTAAAATTTAGGTAACAAAAACACTGAATACAATCACACATGCACAACCAATTATCAATTGGATGGTGTTTTATATCATTTCATTTTAGACAAAGACTCTGCTTACAGTCAGATGTAGAAGTTTTCCCCCTTTTACTATAGTCAATATAAAATAGCACCTGTATGCATGGCCCATTATGAATTGGATGTTGTAAGGATCATTCATATAATATTTGTTTTTATTTTTCATTTTGAATTACAATTTCATTTCAGATAGGAAGTGTACATACAGATGTAGGAGTTATTTCCCTTGAACCATAGCTCTCTCTATACATAGTCAGTTGGCAGAGTGATAATGTCCCTTCCAATCAATGAACATCAACAATTTATGACAGAAAATATATGACTTTGACAGATAATATTTTTTATTATATCTAATCTTTTTAGAGCTTGATTTATTCGTAACAATATATTTTTAAATATCATGAACAACAGTCAAATATCAATTTGTAAAATCATATTAAGGATCGAGCTATCTTTCTCAAATTTTATATGTATGTTACCCTTGGTCCCCTTATTAAGAATACTCCAAATTAATTCATTCCTTATTGACTGCACTGCTAATTCTATAAGAATTATAAATGTATAGCGTTTTACATGTAATTATGCAAATCTTATGCAATAACATTTACCATAAAGCAAAACAGCATCTGACATTACGAGGTTTAAGTTAATGTACAAGTTTCCTGTTTAGAATTTCCAACATGGGACTGGATTATAGTACCTGTAAAGAAAATGATGAAAAGAAGAAGATATATGATCGTCTTTTGTGACATGATCAAGATCCTTTTATGGTGGGTGCCAAGATCCTTCTAGGATCCCATGTTTTTGACACATGCGTTAGGTAACGCAAGTGTCTAGGGGATCGCGCATACTACGAAATTTGCTTAACGTGGAACTGCATTTTCTACACATACGCCATCTATGACTATATATGGTCTTTCTGTCCACATATGGTAGCTGATATCTCCTTATATGGATTTCATTCATTCACATTTCATTCATATGCAAATGTTTTTGTCAGCGACCCCTAGCATTTTCATTCATATCGTAGTGACGCCATTTTGTGGTTCGCCAACTTATTATATCTGGTTATCGTTTGGGGTTCGGCCACATATATTTGTTTGTTTCCAGTTACATGTTTGAAATGATTATGGATGTACTAAAGTGAGTGTAACCCCTTAAGTATCGAGGATCGATGTTCCAATAGATGCTTTGTCAGTATCACATTCTTTTTGCCCATATAACCCTTTGACCTTTATCCACAGGTAAAACAGAAGACCAAGATGTGTGTGTACTGGCACATTCTAACAGGTAAGCATAATGTGTGTCACAGTAGCTCATATAACTATACTACAAAATACTGTAAAAGTCTTGTTTTCATGGTACGTTATGTTTAGCAGATTTGCAAAACTGGTCATTTTTCTCAGGTTTTATTGTTATGTAGATTTCATATCTACTAGGCATGGCATAATGCCCTACATTAAGGATGTATGCTTACAATATGTATTTTTAAAGGCAAAATTGTTTCGATGAAAATTGAGAAAATTAACACCCCACAGGAAAAAAACTTTACAGTAGCATCACAAATGCCATGTTTTGTAGTACTGTGTTAATATATATATATATGCATCGTTACGTAACTTGTCAGATTAACATAATCTTTTACTAATATTTTGTGTTAAGTTGAAAACAAGTCAACTTTGAGTGCTGACTACAGTCAAAAGCAACAAACATCTTCTTAAGTTCAATAATGCCCAGAATCATACTAATTAGACAACAGTCACCTTGAGTGAAGTGCTACAATATTTTGTCATACAAATGACCTTGACCTATACATTCAGAGTGGAAGGGGTAAAATAAGTGAAAATAATTCAAACAGCATTATATAGATGATGTTCCCTGAAGTATTATCTTATGTTTCCTCATGATCAGAAGGAACCAGAGGGTTTAGAGGCAAGGAACTTGAGAATGCTATGTAGTCCAGCAATGGGTTATGTCAAAGGTCAATTTTGAGTGCTGGGGTCAATGCTACATGTAACATATGGGCTCAAATAGTTAAGATGTTCTTCAATCTTATTAAGTCCAGTAAGGCACAGAGTCATGATATGTAGCAAGTACATGTAGGTTCTTGAAATGCCATCTGGTTTCTTCCCCTTAACCTTAACCAAATGTCAAGGTCACTGGGATCAACCATGTCAAAATTTGAAACAATATTATATATCCAAAGAATGATGAGCACTAGCGCCATGTCAATCATGCAGGTCAGAATCAGCACAATCTCATTTAGTTAAACAGCTTTGAACATCTTAAAAAGTTTGGACAATTCACAAAATCATGGTTTGGTTTGGTTTAATTTTGTTCAACATCCTATTAACAGCTAAGGTCATTTAAGGACGTGTCTCCATGTGTGTAGTGTATGCATTCTTGCGTGTACTGTGTGTATGCAGAAGACAGGATAGGTTGGTGTGCTTGCCTCTTTCCGGGAAAATAATTTCCTCATTTTGTGTAAAGTCACGAAAATTTACAGCTGTGAAAATAGCTTGATATATGAGATACAAATCACATCCAAAGGTATGGGGCATTGAACTTGAGACTGACCATGGGGAATCAGTTTTTTCTTGTTAAGGATTTGATGAGTGTAGCTTAACTTGGGTCTAGACCTAAAATGAGATAATTTAGGCATCTAAGTTTTAAATCTAGTCCACTTGTATAGTTGGTCATATTTTAACAGAATTTGGTTTGAAGCATCCGTGGGGCCAGTTACTCTTATGTGATATAACTAAAGGTTGTTTCAGTCGGCAATGTGTTCTTGTCACTGTAACCAGATGCTCTTTGTTTATATATATCTATGACAATAAAATGCAACTGTAGCATGCTATGTATATACCTATATAACTACAGGACGTATATATATGTCATGGTCACTTTTACCATGGATATATGATAAAACTGCAGCAGTATAGAACTATTCCAAAATATCTTTAGATAATTCATATTGGATTAAATCAATGATAATATTTTTTGGATGTGTAATTATTGATTATTTATCAATATGTGTTCCTTTCAGTGTTTAAAAGGGAGTTTTCAGAATTAATAAGGTTTACAGTAAATAATGTGTGGGGTTTCCTATATGCGTTTCATGGACCTTCTATTTTTTCCTTGTAGAATATGTATAGTTACCCTGGCTCCCAGTCACCCTGTTGTAGCAAAGAAAAAGAAAGTGACCTCTGTCAGCTTTGATGTCACTGGAGCCAACAGATTGGACAACAAAGTGTCTGGCAAAGGCAAAAAGGTAAAGATATTACATTAACCTCGAACAGTAGTGAATACACTACCTCACAGTCAACTTAAACAGGTTTATTTCAATTCTCTAGTACCCATAGACGTTTATACAATGTAAGGTGAGCTTAAGGTCGAGTGAGTGTATTGATAAACGGAAATAGGAAGTACATCCCTAGTTGGAAATCCAATGTTGGGAGAAAGTATCACAATTTCCGCATATTCTAATGAAATGGTCCTATAACACTCATTTTTATTGCTGACAAACTTACATAAAGCCCTATAGCTACCTGGCTTTATTAAAGGGGCTGGTCGTGGGGAAAAATACAAAATAAATGGGTTCAAATGCGTTCTCTGGCCTTCCAAAAGTTATACCACGGCAATTTGATGGTCGAGTTCTGCTTGCAATGTCTTGTTTTGACCACTGAAATCTCGGGGAACCCCGCGTAAATTTAGCGCAGATCATTTTTTTTATGTCATGTGGTTGTTTCGAAAGTGAGGCAGTGAAGATAACAACAATAGCACGCCGTCAATCAGCCATGTCGGACTCAACTAGCGGACAAGACAGCAATACTATGCGTAAATAATTGTTTTCAAAGGTCATGTATGATACAAGTGTAGTATTCCTACCTATATGTTGTTGTTATATATAACGGTATTGATACCTCGTGCCTGTCTTTTGCATGCATCTTTTTCTTTCGGCGCGATGTTTACATTTGGCCTTGTTGATGACGCGCATGCGGTAAAATTACATCACTGATCTGGGTCAATTGAGAGTTTTAGACTGTCAGGTGACGATTTAGGAATTCTTTAATATAATTATAATTTTTACTCTTAGGGAATGAATTTCAGCAAAATTTTAATCGGTATATTTCATAAGAAGGTATTTTAAACATGTGTATGCCATTTTAGCAAATATGACACTTTTTTCCCCGACCAGCCCCTTTAAGTTTGTCATCAATAGCAATGTGTCTTATTGGACCCTAACAGTATTGCTAAATCATTCATTGCTTAAGTAAATCCAAATTGGTCTCCTCTACAGCTGAAACAGAAGCGGAGAGACGTAAAACCCAATGATAAAATGAATTTCAAAAGTTAGAGGAGTAATGACTAATGTCAAATTAATAAGGAGTAAAATGTGCGAATTGTGAACTGCCACTACTCAAAAGGGATAAATGTGGCCATCAACGTTAAAATAGACCCAGGAGACTAAGAAATCCACCAGCAGAGTACTGTATAATGTAACATTAGAACTAGAACTTTTATTTTTTACGAAAAATAAATCAAAAATCTTGTTTGTAGATTTAGTAAGTCAATTAAACTAAGGAAGCATTTACAGCACACCATTTGACCATTTATTCTCCCACCCTTCACAGGTGTGTCTCCCGTTTTAGCCGGGAAAGATCAGCTTGTCATGATCACCCCACCCTCTAGGGGGAGATAGTCTGGTGCTAATTAGCAAGTATTTAATATATATTGTGACGTCATAATTTCGAACTTTCAACTACAACAGAAATTTTATAGTGAAAGAAGTATTTCATGTAAACCATTCTTAGATCAACTGTAACTACAAAGCAATGGCCAACTTCAGGGACTCCTATATATAGTTTGCCAGCAGAGTCAACCATGTTGTTCTGTAAAATAATCAATAGAAATATTAGTACAAATAAAGCACCTATGTACAAGTTTTGTTTGTATATGCAGAAAACCAAGGTAAACGCTTAACTGCACCTTTTGATCATTTCATTTACTTGGGACTCGTCCGTGGTGCTTGATGTAAGAACATCAAACAAATCCGCTTTTAAAGTGTTCCAAATCATGCGTAGAATACAGCCAGAACGGAAAGGTGCCTATTAAGTCCCTTATAATGAAACACATTTACAAACTTTGCCTACGCATTATACATTTTATACAAGATGTGGTTACAGAGAGAAGAGTTCTATCATTTTCATTAGTACCTGTAGACTTCAGATAGAACATCTTCACTAGCACCTGTAGACTTCAGGTATATCATCTTCACTAGTACCAGTAGACGACAGGTATATCATCTTCACTAGTACCCGTAGACATCAGGTATATCGTCTTCACTAGTACCGGTAGACGACAGGTATATCATCTTCACTGGTACTGCTAGCCTTCAGGCATATCATCTTCACTAGTACCTGTAGACGACAGGTATACCATCTTCTCTAGTACCCGTAGACATCAGGTATATCATCTTCACTAGTCCCGGTAGACGACAGGTATATCATCTTCACTGGTACTGCTAGACTTCAGGCATATCATCTTCACTAGTACCAGTAGACGACAGGTATATCATCTTCACTAGTACCCGTAGACATCAGGTATATCATATTCACTAGTACCCGTAGACATCAGGTATATCATCTTCACTAGTACCCATATACTTCAGGTATGTCATCTTCACTAGTACCGGTAGACTTCAGGTATATCATCTTCACTAGTATCTGTATACTTCAGGTATATTATCTTCACTAGCCTCTGTAGACTTCAGGTATATCATATTCACTAGTATCTGTATACTTCAGGTATATCATCTTCACTAGCCTCTGTAGACTTAAGGTATATCATCTTCACTTGTACCGGTAGACTTCAGGTATATCATCTTCACTAGAACCGCTAGACTTCAGGTATATCATCTTCACCAGTACCCATAGACTTCAGGTATATCGTCTTTACTAGTACCCATAGACTTCAGGAATATCATCTTCCCTAGTACCCGTAGACATCAGGTATATAATTTTCACTAGAACCCATATACTTCAGGTATGTCATCTTCCCTAGTACCCATAGACTTCAGGTATATCATCTTCACTAGCACCCATATACTTCAGGTATGTCATCTTCACTAGTACCCGTAGACATCAGGTATATCATATTCACTAGTACCCGTAGACATCAGGTATATCATTTTCACTAGA